AGTCTTATACTTAAATAGCTTCAGAATTAACTAGTACCTATTTCACAAACACCTACAATCCTTACGTACCTAATGGCATTGCTAATTGCTAAAATAATCAGCAATAAGCAATCCTATTAGCCATACAGCATTGTGTACAATCAATACAAAAGAAATCTCAATAAATCCTCTGCATCAAAATCACAGAAAAAAAACACAACAAACTAAAACCAAAAAAGAACTAAAAATAAATTTGAAACCATCTATCACAAAAAAGTATCCAAAGACAATATCGGTTCGTCCATTAACGTTGAAAAATTAGAATAAGATTAAAAAATATACAATTTTAATTAGTAAAATCTGAGTGGGGTCGTTGTACTTAATAACAAAAGCGTTCAATAACGTCGAACCCTCTACCCGTGGACTATGCGCCTCATAATGATGGCGCGTCTTAATTTTTAATATTTTTTTCAAAGCCGTCCATTAAAACCTTCATTCAGAATGAGGCATCATTTTCGCGCCCGCGCCAGAGTGCTTAGAAAAAAATGGCGCGGATTTTGCAACAGTGTTGCAAGTTTAGAATCGTTTTGTTTGGATTTGAATCGTGTTTGTAGGTTTGATTTTTTTTAAGTAAATAAGTATCTGCCTTACTTAATTTTTTATCGTCAATTAATATTAATACTCGTAGAGATTTGCAGTTTTCATCACTATAGATCCCGAGACCCAAGAGAGAATTAAGTACCTGTCTATGATTTTTTTTAAAAAAAAGATAATACTTTAACATTGCCTTATGTACTGAAATATAGGGCTATCACGTTGGTCTCAGAAAATCGATTAGAAAGAAAGACAGAGAACGTTTTCAAAAACGCAGGATTACTTAATAGTAGTACCTACACCTACACTAATGATATAAGCAATCGTCTCTCAATATCCCTTATTCAAAAAAAAATGGCACTAAGATCACTTAATTAACCATAAAACACTTCATTCTCATTGCCTCCCCCAGTATCTGATCAACTGTCTCAAATTATAACCAGAAAATCACTGTCCTCCATCCTTTTCTAACTTTGTAATTAAAGTATTGCATCTCTTTCTAGCTATAATGAAAGTAAATCGGTTTTAAATGCATAGGTTTGGCGTTAGGTGTAAGGTAGGTAAGGAGTAATTTACTGGGTCGAAATCTCATTATAAGTGTTACCATAATAAAAAAAAATCTTTATATTACATATTTTTTATAACATTTCGCTGCTTACATCGTTAAATTGGGTTAATATTGTTGCACTAATTTTGAATGGCTTTCATTTTAACTGCGATTTGTTATTTTCTGTTTTGTACCAGTTTCTATTATTTTGGTCTTTATTCGCTTGATTAATTAAAGTCAAAGATACCTATACAAGGCTAAGCAACGATGCCTAATGCAAAATTAACCGATTATTATTTACTTAACATGTTCAAGAAACTTGTAAATAAATAAGTCAAATCAATCATTAAAAGTTTGCAAGGTCTCAAAACGAGGCCCTCACCTGCAGCCAACGTGCACGGACCTCACTCAATCAGAAATGCAGCGATCAAAATGCAAATGGCTGACATTTTATTCATTTTGCGGACGCAGGTACGATGCACCATAAACTGCCTACAAATTATACATTGCTTTTATTTTTAATTGCTACGGACGAGCCACCGTCTTCGCCAGCGGCAGCGGCCTCCCTGACCCTTCTATTTTTGAATTATGGCGCGCCGACACGTGATTGGCCGGTGTAGAAGCGTTCGTTCAGTACTTTGTATTTATTAGCGATGCGTTCATATGGGGGTGGAGATAAAATCTAAAATGAAATACCTAATTGCATTCAAAGCTGGCTGTTCTGTATTTATGATGGCGTCATTCAGTGGCCGTCATTAATGGGGATCGTGACCGATTCTGCTGATACGCTTCAAGGTTTTGTTTTGCGATTTCTTGAATGATGTTTATTCCGGTTTCTTTTACATAGGTACTATAGTTGTAGACTTTTAAGCTTTTGTAACGGGTTGAACAATAATAAAAAGAGCCAGTCAGGTATGAGTACCTCGTGATAAAATTATTACCGTCGCTACTGCGTATGTAATGTGCATACGAAACCTTGGAACCGCCAATTATCAATTAGTAGGACCTGAGAACCTAACGGGTAACCGGGGCTCCGGCTCAACGTGCAGGAGAAGGAACGGGGTGGTTTTTAGTCAGTAAGAGTCTGACACTCCCTCCCATCTCACCCAGGCGGGAGCAGTCATTCGATGATTTTCCCCTCTTAAAAAAAAAGTTACAGTTATTATCTATCTACTTACTTAATGCAAGTTATATTATATATATTAGTATGTATCTACTTACTGCAAGTTAAAATAATAATTAATTAATTACATAACATCACGCCTTTTTATCCCCGAAGGGGTAGGCAGAGATGCACTTTTCGGCGCTTAATGCCACTGTAGTATGTAACACCCAATTTTCACTATTTATGTTATGAATCCCATATAATAGGGGGTGAGCCTATTACCATATACCTGGCACATTTCCAGACTCGGTGCTATCATTGAGATTTTTAAAAACCCAGTAATACTTTGCCCGACCCGGGAATCGAACCCGAGACCCCTTGCCCGGCAGTCGCACTTGCGACCACTTGGCCAAAGAGGCAGTCAATTAATTAAACTGTCGAACACCAAGCGGTCACCGGTGACCGCAACCTATTGTTCTGTAATTGTGTCTACAAAACCGGTATTCGACGAGTTAATTTAACAACCATAACATCACCTAGAGCCCGATTCTGGGACAGCATAAATAGGGTTGCCACCTCTTTTTGGTATATAAAGTACATTGACGATTATAGGTAAGAAAAAAAAGTACATAGTACAAAAATAAAGTAAAATTTATTGTTATTTAGTATTTATTATAATTTAAAGATATATTTTTTATTGTTTTTTTTGCAGTTTGTATTATATTAATATCTTTACTAAACAGTTGCATTGAAATACTAAACAATTGCATCTTTACTAGAAATTGTCTAAGTGGCGCTGGCGAGTGGCGAAATCGATTCAACATAAATCGATATATATATATATCGATATCGAATCGATAAGTTTACCGAAAAATACTTACGACTTTAATAGAAATGATAAAGTATTATCGTATACTTTATTATTCTTATAAAGTATAGAGTACAATTAACTTAAATAATATAATACATAATTTAATACTTTAATTCTAATGTAGACAATCTAGTTTCCTTATGGCATCGAGCATTTCTTTCTTTATTGAAACAAAGAGTTTCCTTTTTCTTGTATAGAAGCACTATTTCTATGGATTGTCAGTATGCATATGTGAGCACCATGTTGGACTTAAGATCTTTATTATTTTTATTTTTATTTTAGTAAGTTAATAGTATAATGCGTCAAGCGTGTCTTTGCATTGTTCTTACATATGCGTACAGTATTGAAATATGTATCAGAGACATTGTAGAATATACTTTTTTAAAAGAGTAACGAATGGAGTTTCTTGCTCGTTCTTCTCCATTCGAATCTACGTTTTGGAATGAGCACCTAGCTTCACCTAGCTTCACTGACGGACTGACTGACAGACTATTATTTATTTTGTATTTGTTGACGTTTCAAAAGTACCAAACTATGGTTTAATTGAAATAAATGCTTTGACTTTGACTTTGACTTTGACTTTAACGTACAATACTTTATTATAAAGTACGGGTGGCAACCCTAAGCACATATGACAGATATCGGGCAGAAAAGCTCTCTGATAAACCAGAACCTTTCAAACCGCGATCCTTAAACTGTCAAACACCAAGCGGTCACCGGTGACCGCAACCTATTGTTCTATAATTGTGTCTATAATGACGGTGCTCGACGAGTTAAACTGCCTGCTAGTGTAGTGGCAAGCGAGAAGATGGCTGGCACTATTTGGCAGGCGGTGTGTTAGTTAACCTTCTCATTGTAGGAGAGGTAGTGTACCCCACATTCTAGCAGAGCCGACTGGACTATTAGGCACTTAATGAATGATTTCTTAACTTCCTAACACGTAGGTAATATCTAAATATGAATTCATATTTATGTTAGTCATCATCAATAGCCTTTAAGTAGCCACGGCAGACCAAACGCCACACGGAGTATGTTTGAACATTAATCACCACGCTTGCTCAATGCGGGTTGGCGATTTCAAACTTATAATTAGAAATTGCCCAGGTGTCCTCACGAAGTTATCCTACACCGTTTGTCAGTGGTGTCTAGATAATCTTACAAAGCACAAATAACCCGGAAACGAATACTTTAAACGTAAATCAAACTCGTACTAAAGCCTCGAACTAATGATTAGATATCGCTTAGCCTAAATCACTGATAAAATAACTTGATACTAATATAGGTCAAATACAAACATGAGCGTTCATATTTAAGTTCTCGCATATTCAGTAACATGTTCAGTATTAAAAACATGTACTTATGTAAACAAAGCGAATTAACGTATTTTATATTTTTATTTTCCTCATTTCACATTACATTAGTAGGTTCGTCCACATAATTATGTTTTCTTATAGCGTAATCACTTTTTAGAACGTACCCACTTAAAAAACTTCTTATTTTAACCTAAACCGAATGACTTGCGTGGAAAAGTATAATTGGGTCTCTCAGTTAGACCATTACAGTTTCATATGTAACCAAATTTTGGATAATAACACATTACCTAACGCTTTCCGGTCGGGTAAAGAATCAGGTTGAAAGTACGCGCGGACAATCTAATTCGACTTCGTTCGGAAACAGCAAGTCTGTCAAAACTTGTAACAAATAATTGTTGACTGATAATAATGTAAACAACACAAATGTACTTTTAAACCACATGTTATATACAAAATAAATTATTGCACTACGTTTTTTTACGAAGTATGCTATTTTTTTGAAGAATGTTATTTACTGTGCGTCTGTCGCGCGTGTAGAAACTTTTACGTTTCTAAACGACTCAAAGCTAATGTCAAAAACTCAAAATACAGAATGACATAACCACTGTGCAGTGCGCGAGGTTGAGTGTTTTTAAATTAAATGCGTGATTAAAATTAAATTTATTTTAATTTAAAGTATTACACAATAAACTCAGTGACTATGTCGTACGCCCTTATTCGTCATTTACGCCGTACGGCATTATTATCACAACAAATTCGAGTCGAATCCACCATGACGAGCTTGACTCCGGAAGACATCATATTTCGGCCTCCTATGGCTCAATGGGGCAAAGTTATCAGAGAAGCCGAGAAGATAGTGGGATATCCGACCTCTTTCATGAACCTGCGATGGCTATTAAGCGACGAATTCGCCAATTTAGCGATGCATTTACGCACAGTTGTAAGTACATAAAACTTGTTATCTCTCGTAAAAAATTGAATTAAATTGCATTTTATTAGTATTATGATACTGGTATACTGATGATATTATTATATTATGGTCATATAAGCTGTAAATGTCAAGGTTTATGTCATAAAATTAATTATTATGTAATAGTGTTAGTGTTTAGTGTTTGACCATGTGATGTGCAAGGTTATTTCCTGTTCAACAAATTATTAGGTAGATACAATAACAACATAGACAAGTTCCGCGTCTCTCAATGATGTTATAGGCTCAATGTTGCAATTTAATATGACCTTAATTCAATATTTTAAAGTCAAAATTAATTACAATTCAATTGTTTCTACTTGACATTGGTAATTTATTTAATGAATAAAACATACGTTTTTAGGTATTTTGCTGTAAATTTTGAGGACAGTTTCACTATTGGTTAAACTAGAATTCTTCTACAATAAGTAAATGCATTTAAAGTATACAAACAAATATTTTTAATTATCCAATTTAAGTCATTAAATTGACAATAATCAAAATAGTAATACAGTGATCTTATAGCTGTTAACAAAAGCTACAAAATAAATAGAATCTTTAAGCCTTTTACTGCCGACAGAAAACTGTTGAAGGAAATCCTCTGTTAACGCAGGCCATAGGTGACTTATGTGGCTGTTAACATGTATCTTATAAAATTATTCAAACTAAATATTTCTCAACAGGTTGGCATGAATCACCCCATCGTTAAGACCGCAAAGATGCTCCTACACAATGAACACAACAACCTGCAACCCTGGGGCCTCATCATACTCCTACTGTCAAAAGCAGTCAACCCACCAACATCACTCCTAACCAGCACAGTTACGCAAAACCAGAGAATATTAGCCGAACTCACAGAAATGATACGAACAGGACACTATGTACACCGAGGCTTACTAAACATACCACCGAGTGACCGAAACAAAAGTTGTGACTCATCAATATTTGCGAACAAAATAGCTATCCTTATTGGAGACTATTTACTTGTAACTGCTAATGGAATGTTGGCTAGGCTTAAAAATCAAGACCTTTCATACTTAATTTCTACTGCTTTACGTGATATAAGTGAAGGAGAGTTTTATGGGCATAGAGATGCACAAAACATGCCCGTACCAGGCAAACCGGTGCAGAACGCAAGGGATGTGTATGAGATATGCAGTGACACATTACCTTTAGAAGTAAAAGATGTCCTTGGATCACCGGTAAGAGAATGGACATTGCGATCAATGTATAACGGAGGATCACTGTTTGGTAGAGGCTGTCAGGGCGCTCTAGTACTAGGCGAACATGACTTAAAGAAGCAGGAAACCGCTTACAAATTCGGCTGCCATCTTTGTTTAGCATGGCAAGCAGCGACCGAAGTACAAAAGATGACATCAGACAAGGAATCTTCCTTCTCTATAGTAAGTGCACCAGTTTTATTTGCTATTAACGAAAAACCTCATTTATACGAACTTGTAGCGAATATACAGAATATTACAGAGGTGGATCTAGAAGTATTAAAAACCGAGGTTTTGAACACAGATGCTATAGAACGGACTCGGTTATTGTATACAGAGCATGCGGATAAAGCGAAGAGTTACGTTGAAGAGTTTGGTGACTGTCAGTCAGTAGACACTATAAAACAGATGATATATACATTGTAGTGAAAGTTATAGTTTAAATTATATTATAGACCTTTTTCAGGAATTGAAATATTAGTTGTTAAGAAGGTGAGTGCTTCTCTGTTTTACAAGAATTGTGATTGTCTAATGAATGTTAAATATTAATAGAAATGACACTATAAAAAGGTATCCATGTTGTATTATAGTTTATTCTATTTACAACTACAGAAAAATAATATGATATTCAATGTTGGCTTTAAAGTTTCCGGTATACCAATACTTTAAGCCATATATCCTCAAGCGGTCACTGGTGACCGCTCTCTGCTAACTACATTAAAGACCTTATTTCCAATATTTAGAGACTACTTTTGTATGAACAAATTTAGGGGATGATTTTCAACATGTTAATATTGCTCTGCACAAACTCTATTGATATTCACTCTAAACCTTGAAATTGAAACCATTCGTTCTAATTTAAATCTTATTGTTACTTGCTTTAGACATGAATTGCAATGGCATTATAAATACCCTGAGTAGAAAATGGAACCGAGTTGAATTTTTGTAATTGTGTTTAAAAATTAATTAAAATCAACATATCAGTTTGTTTAATATGTGTACTGTTGTACTTTGGTATTTATTTTTTATTTAATGCTTAAGCTAACATCTTTAATTGTCTCTTATTTGAACTTTGGACATGTTGTTTACTTAGTAAAAATTGGCTTTTTTATTCTTTAATTATCTCTTACTGCCTAGCCGGCCGAGTGGTCGCAAGTGCGACTGCCAGGCAAAAGTTCGATTCCCGATCAGGCAAAATGTTACTGGGTTTTTAAAAACTTCTCAGTAGTCTAGCATGGAGTCTGGAATTGTGGTATATATATGGCAATAAGCTCACCCCCTATTACATGGGACTTTAACATAAATAGTGAAGTGGGTGTTACATTGTACAAGGGCATAAGTGCCATAATGTGCCCCTCTGCCTACCCCTTCGGGAATAAAAGGCGCGATGTTATATTATGTTAATTACCAGTAGTACATAGTGAATTCGTCTATTAACTGTTCCTAAGACCGGAGTCTCGACATTGGTAACATTAATTTGAAAAATCAGTTGTCAAGTCGTGAATTTCGTCAATAAACTTTCAACCTTACAGTTTTATGATTAAAGTTGAGAATTAATTAATAAAAATTCACGACTAATGACAGAATTTTGTCGAGACTGCCTTCAATATGGAACTTGAAACTAGAGAAAAGTATCTATACCTATGTATTATGTCGCGGAGAACCTAACGGGTAACCGGGGCTCCGGTTCGACGTGCAGGAGAAGGAACGGGGTGGTTTTTAGTCAGTAAGAGTCTGACACCCCCTCCCGCCTCACCCAGGCGGGAGCAGTAATTAGATGATTCTCCCCCCTTAAAAAAAATACCTATGTAATATAGTTTTAAGTTTACCTACCCCATAAGGGAAACAGTGTGATATAATTATGTTTGTTATATTTGCTTTACACAAATATTGTTATTTGAAAAACTTTTTAATCATTAATTTATGGATCAGTTCGACAATTCAATGTTAATTAAATGCTTTTCTTAAGACATTGTTGTATAAAATTTTATTTTGAATTGAAATGTAGACATGATTCTATGAGTTATCGGTTAACGCAGAATATGAACCATCAGAGGCGTATTCTTAAATCCAAGTCCAATCGATTTTTCCGTAATTGGGCCTCCTCTCGGCTCTCCTACACTCTCTACTTACTTCTACGTACTCTACGTACTTCTTACCTGCATGCTAAATAACCTTTACACAATAACCGGAATTTAAATGAAATAAAAAAAAATGTTCTATGTTCAAAACTAAGTTTCAGAGAGTTTAGTACGAGTTTCGCACGTTCGGCTCTCTGATTGGCCGGCTCCAATGAACCAACCTATCAAAGTGGCAAGCACGAATAACTATCGCATTCATAACGTAATAGTATCGAGCGCGTTCGGGGCTCGGATTGGCGGGCCTCAGTGAAGCAACCAATCAGCGGTGGACGCGGCCTCGTTTCGATTGCTTGCAACGTAAAACAATATCGTACTAAGGCCTTAGACACATTATTTTATTTCCTGCACTTAATATCTTAAGTCTGTTTACACACTGCGCTCCACGACTAAAATCGTTAACGCTGGCCATAAAGCCGCAGGCTTGAAGTGGAAGGATTGGCCGCAAAAAGCTTTACATAGAGAGGAGTTGAAGGAGGGTAGGGCCTTTGCCCTGCAGTGGGACGATTCACGATCATGGCTGAAAATAAATAAAATAATATCGTAACGATAAAACAAACTCCTTTTGTTTGAAAGTAGGTTTAAAGTCATACGATTTGAAATTGTTTAGATATGTCTCCGTAGTAGCTACGCCGTAGCACGCTACGACTGTAGCAACATTTTTAATTACTTTACCAACTTATAATTTTATTTTGTACTTTAATATTCCTTTTTATTATTAAGATAAAAATGGCGCTAATAATTGTGATTTGTTTCCAAATGTCACTTAGAAATAGTTTATTTGTTTAAGCATTTATTGTAATTGTTATATCTAATTTAATTATTTAAAACCTCTTATACAGTAGACAACGTTTTCCCTAGCCGTAAACGATAATTTCGTCTTATAACGTTGCACGCAACATGACATGTTACAAGTTGCTCATATTTTGTTGCATGTTGCTGTTCTATCATATGTTTCAATGCTAGCTAAGGAGGAGGCGGGACGCGTGAGGCAGCGAAGCGCTGCCTCCTCGCAACCCAGCCATCGCGAAGGACACACCGGGCGTCGGGGATCGCGGGACGATCTCCGGCCACCGTAAGAGCGGGCCTGCGGACGGCGAGCATGGGTGGCTCCCCGTCCGACCAGAAACAGACCCGAGCGTACGGCGCGTCGCGTTCCGCGCGCGCCTCAAAGAGCCATCAGACCACCACAGATGGGGCCCAATAGGGCCGATGCCGATTCGGAGTCGCGGAGAACCTAACGGGTAACCGGGGCTCCGGCTCGACGTGCAGGAGAAGGAACGGGGTGGTTTTTAGTCAGTAAGAGTCTGACACTCCCTTCCGCCTCACCCAGGCGGGAGCAGTCATTCGATGATTTTCCCCCCTTAAAAAAAAAAAAAAATCATATGTTTCAATCGTTATCTCCATGCATTGTCTTATTCTTGTGTCATCCTCTATTACAAATCTAATCTCTTATATTTTTAAACACTATCTTTACAATTTTGTAAACTTGTACTTTTTTTAATATTGCAAATTACTACTCATTATATACTAGACACTTTGTTACGCAACACGTTCTGCAACAGGGAAATATTTTGTCTACTGTTGATTGAGGCTTAACTTATTGTTGTAAAATCATTGTTTTAAAGCTATTAGTTGTAAGTTAAGTTATCAATTTGTTACCTATAGCTGTTACATTTGTGAAAATTATACGGATTTTAACTTTTTTAATACTTTTGTTTTACTTACACGAGAATCCGAGTGGGTACAATATCTGAGTATTAGTTAAATATGATGGCAGAAGTCATAGTTTTAATATTTCTGTGCAGAAACCCTTTTTAAAGCTGTTCTGCTTTTGTGTGATCCACAAATTGTTGTTTCGGGTCTGGGTGTCATGTGTATGTGAACTTGTATGTTTGTAACGTACACACGGCACAGATGATAAGTCAGTGTTTCCACATTTTTTATTAGTTGACTCACTGTTAAGTATTAAAATTCAAGTAAAGTACATCCCTATCCTAGCTAGTTACAATCTCCGGCCACCGTAAGCGCGGACCTGCAGAGGGCGAGCATAGGTGGCTCCCCGTCCGACCAGAAACAGACCCGAGCGTATAGCGCGTCGCGTTCCGTGCACGCCTCTAAGAACCATCAGACCACCACAGATGGGGCCCAACAGGTCTGATGCCGATTCGGAGTCGCGGAGAACTTAACGGGTTACTGGGGCTCCGGCTCGAAGCGCAGGAGAAGGATCGGGGTGGTTTTCAGTCAATAAGAGTGACACTCCCGCCTCACCCAGGCGGGAGCAGTCATTCGATGATTTTCCCCCCTTAAAAAAATCCTAGCTAGTTCCAAAAAGAGCCTCTATTAGGTAGTTGTAGCAACTGATACAGCAACAATAATGTCCGCCAAAATACCCGGCGCTATGTTACATAGAGGTAAATTCTCCGAATGTTGTGTGAAAATATTAATTTAATTCTGTAACATTATCGCGCCGTGATCAGGAAGCTCACATTTGACATTTGAATGGCGTACACTAATAATGTTATTAAAATACATTCTATTTGCTGAACGCGAGGTAATTTTGTGATTAGTGTCAGCTGTGTTAAATGCTTTAATAAAATCATTTGGTACACGTTCTGTAGCTCTATTCTGATATCGTATTTTAAAAGAGAGTGAAGTAAGGTTGGATTGACGAGTACCTTAATACATTAGTCCTGGCTTGTAAACAAAAGAATCTTGTACCATTGTTTTCGTATGCAATCTAAACAGGCTTTAATAACCGGTAAAATAAAAATACAAGGCAACAACATGTAATAAATACCTTTTATTTATCACTCGATATATTGTAGCGTCTCCCCATGTATCGTGATGGCCATCTTCTGTAAAGCAGCGCTCGCGTCTTCGCCGGGGAACATCTTCGCGTACTTCAGCACAGACTCGAACTCATTATCCAGGAGCTTCATCAAATATTCCATGGACCTTGTAGTCCTAACAGAATAGTGTAGCTGTTTGAATTCAACGGGAGTTTTCTCTACCTTCGATTCAAAAATATGGCCGTAAATTGTAGGGTACTCCCATAGGGCGATTGTGGTCGGTGCCCCAACCAGGGAGTAGGAATATGGATGCGTGAAGAAGTCTTTCACGTCTAAATACAGTTGCCATAGCAATGCCAGATGCCCTCCAAGTATGTAGGCGTTCTTCTCCACCTCAGGGCCTCGGTTAGCGAGTTTCATGGCGCCTTGGCATCCCTTGGCGAGGATACTGCCTGACATGAGCATGGTCCGTAGCTTCCACTCGGCTATACCACGGCCGAGGAAGTCGTTTGAACCTAATGGCTGTAGGTTGTCCTCATTTTCCCAGTCGTAGTGAGCTTCTTCATCTTCAGCTTAAATGGAAAAGTAGAATTTACATTCAAGCTCCTTTTTTTAACTTTTAAAACATGTGCGTCGGTTTATGGTTAACCAAATTGTTACCTTTTGGCAGCGTAGGTATGGGGTTGCCGTCATTATCATGGTTTCCAAACGCGTCGCCTTCCACCAGGTCGCGAAGGCCAGTGGAGATGAGCTCCGTCACCTCGTTGTTCCGGAGACCACCCAAATGCTGCAAGCACGTCGCCAGGAGGAAGTCCCCTGCAATAAAGCAAATCAGACAGCGGAATGTTAATCATCCACAAACCGTAATCAAATTCTAATGAGCCTTTTTGACGTATTCCAGACTGCGGCTTTCTTATTGGCAATTTATGAAAAGTTACGTACTAACTGAAATCATTAACTGTGGCTTAAGTCTAATAAATTGTTAAAAATCCACCTAGTGTCGCAAATATATACCTACAAATCCTACAACTATCATCGACATTAATAATAATTAGTTACAAGACGTCTATAACTGCTGCAAATCTCCAATGACACAAATATGACCCGGTCATCCATACCTGTCAACAGCACGATCTTGTTCCCATACAGCAGGTCCTTGTACTTGTCTCCTTGGTCCCCCTTCTTCTGAAGGTTAACCATAGCCTTGTGTATCATATGACCTGTCCTTTTCATCTCTACTATCTCCGCCAAAGCCCTCTGAGAGTGCAGCACTCCGGAGTCATACAGATCTCTTGTGAAGTTCTTAGTGTCGAAACCAGCGGCTTTGGATACCAGTAGGATGATCAGACCGACTGACTGAAGGTTGCTCTTCGATCCTACGAGCAGGTTCTTCGCTGATTTTAGAACTGGATGGTTGCTACCGACCTGTGGATGAACACGTTTTGTTGTGTCGAAAGGTGTTTGCTCGTGTTTCGGTAAAATATAGATCAATGGAATTTTGTTTATTCTCCGCTTTTTTTTATCTAGTACCGCCTTATATTCCACCCTTTCCTTCCCATGGAATCAATTAAGTCATTAAGGAGTCTGCATAAATCTACCCTTCATTTTTTTAACTTTCAATCGGACCTAAATTAATTTTCAAAATACATATTTTCTTCCTCTTGTTATGATTGATTATTTTATTCTCATTATGTCGTAAGATTGACTGCTGTTGTTGTTATGTTTTATTAGCTTTTACCCGCGGCTTTGCCCGCGTATTCCTGTTCCACCCCATGGGAGCATTTAATCGGGATAAAAAGTCCAATCACTTAAGTCAGCCCATACCCTGCCTATACTAAATATCATCAAAATCCGTTCAGTAGTTTCAGCGTAATTGACGAACAAACATCCAAACAAATAACTTTCACATTTATAATGTCTATTAGTCTATTGGTGTGATTTCAGTCTCATTCACAATCTTGAAAACCCGATCCTAAGAATACCCATTGTTGAATGAATGTTGAAAAAAGAAATCAAGCAATATCTCATTTAAAAGTTAATAGTAATGATGAACAAATTATCAACTGACCAGTTTGCGTAAATGTATGGCCGTACTAGCGATCTCGTCATTGAACAGCCAACGGAGGTTGAGGAACGAGGTCGGGTAGCCGACGATCTGCTCCGCCTCAGTGATGACGTCACGCCAGTCTATCTCCTCCTGCCGGCCTAGGCCGAGACCGCTGCAGCTACGAAACTGCGTGAGACTGAGAAGAGAAAGAAAGGAAATGAATGAACTTGAAGTAGAAGTAGACTCTTCTTCTGTGATTGACTAAACCGACACTTAAGAAATGACAAACGAACGATCATATTTTATTATTATTAGTAGACGTACCAGGTACCCACCTACCCCTAGGTCGTCTTTGACTACGCCGGGGCAGCACACTAGGAATTTCTCCTGTGTCGTGGGTGCATTTACAAACATACAAGTTCATTATGGATCACACACACAAAGGTTTGCTCCGTACGGGAATTGAACCTCCTACACGTTGCGAGGCCTCCAGTTGCCACACAACGTGTAGCGGGTGTCTGTCGTAGAAATTATCGGTCCTTCGAGACCCCCTGAGGATGGGGACCGTGGGCACGGGCCCCGAGTGCCCTTAAGGAGGCCACACACGCTAGGGTTTGCATGGTGGTTATAACTGTGCATGCAAAACCGACATGCATAACCGAGTTTCAGAGCATCGATAACTGTACAGTTTAATCACATACACGCTAGGGCTCGCCTGTCGGGTATGCATGCACGGCTAAAACCATCATGCATAACCTAGCGTGTATGGCCTCCTTTACCTTATGGTACAGACGGTATACACCTGCCTTTTTCTCCTATTGCAATAAGTGAGTTGACTTAGTAGTGTTTTAGATCGTATTAATTTTTTAAATAAGTAGGTAAGTATAGGTTTTTTTTTTAAAAGGGGGAAAATCATCGAATGACTGCCCCCGCCTGGGTGAGGCGGGAGGGAGTGTCTGACTCTTAGTTCCTTCTCCTGCACGTCGAGCCGGAGCCCCGGTAACCCGTTAGGTTCTCCGCGACAGGTAAGTATAGGTAGGTTTCTACTTACCTAATTCTACCATTGTGAGATCAAATTTTATGGTACCTAATTTTACCAACCTATTGTTCTGTAGTTGTGTCTATAATGACGGTACTCGACGAGTTAATGTCGGTAGGTAGGTAGGCACAATATGGAGACTTCCGACCCGAATTCGAGTGTCTATACAAGACCTAAGGCCCTGTAAAAATAGTTTTAATACACACCTTCCACACTGCTCTACCGATGTAATCCCGCCTTTATTTCCAAACTGCTGTTGACTCTCACAACTGCTATGAAATCTCGACATTTGCTTCGATTCAGAATTATTTTGAACGCAAATCTGCGGACTATAATACAAACATCTCACATCGTTCAGGTTTCGCGTAGTTTTGAAAACTTTAACCAATTTTGATGTCGAAAACATGTTCGTTTAATATTGCAATAATTATAATCACATTAGCGGGTCAAAGAAAACTATTTGAAATGACATTTCGTTTACGCGGTCATGTCATTTGTGTTCCGTTGTCATTTGACAAATAAACAATTACATTATTTATTTATTTACAAATTATTTACAATTACAATAAGGTTTTAATCTAAGTGCAGGGATTGCTAAATGCACGACCTGTGGCGACCTCGTTGATTTTAATTATTAAATAAACAAACCTATACAGGGTGGAATTTTGTAATGCCACCTGAAGGGGAAGAACTCTTAATACTTAAGATAGAAACTTTTACTCAAAGAAAACAGTCCTTTATTTTTGAAAAGAAACAAAACTGCAATTAATGCTTTTTTTTAAATTAGCTTGCCTCACACGGTAATCGAACCGATTAAAATTTGACTTTTATTGAATCGATAGTCCATTGTTTTCCTTTCATTAAATTTATAAAGTGTGTTAGAGAGATTTCATCCATATTGACCCTAACAATGGATGTAATAAATGTACACTTCCCTTTCAGGTGGTATTACACAATTCCACGCTGTATAAATATCTAACTACAGTACCTACCTACATGCTTTAATGAAAACGAAAAATACTTTCAAAATGAACCTTTGCAGTTTCGGTTAGGTAGGTACCTTAGGGTTCCTAAAGCGAACAGCTTTACAAAAACCCACCCAGCTTTATTATTACATAGCGCAAATTAAAAGTTTACTCAGCAAAAACTGAGGACAAATATATTGGATTAAGAGCTGATTTTTAAATCAACAGATAATTCTCAACTGTACAATAGAGTTATCGTTTGAGAGTTTTTAGTACCTATGGAAGAATCGGGTACCTTCCTTGATAAAAAATAAATTATTTCGATTGTTCAACACAATAAAATATTAAAAAATAATCACATTTTCATTAATAGATTTTATGACCAACTTAATTTTAGTATTATTCCAGCAAAATTTTAAGTAGGTACTATGAATACTGTTTGACGCTAAAAAACTGTGACGTCACAATACAAAAATTCATAGCAAACTGTCGTTTTTGACAGTTCGAAAAAAGTATTAAATTTAACGAGTTGGGAAGTACCCAATTGTCAAATATTCAAAATTATTCTTCTTCTAGCGTTAGCCTTCTAGCTAAATTGAATAGGCCAATAATTTAAATCTGTAAAAATATAACAGAAAATAATCTAAGAGTCCACAACTGCAATATCAATAACATACGTATCTAATCGCAATACACCGATATTCCGCATTACACATTACACGTACATCAAATGTAAGCATCGTTTGCCGTGTACAAGACACAGTTATTGCAGGAACCCCGCTGTGTATCTGATTAAAGTCAGCCTCGTGATGCGAGCTCCGCGACTATAAGAACTTTTTGAAATGATCATACGATGCTCCTTTAAAATATGTCGCTATTTAAATCATAATAATTGTTATTGTTGAGTTTTTATACATATGCATGAAAATATGAATGCTATTCCTTCAGAACTTGGGCCTTAGAGGATAATGTTTCGTTGAACTTGAAAGCCATAATAAGTTGAATTTCATCATCACATCAACAGCCTATAGGTATACGTAGCCACTGCTGACCAAAGGCCTCTTCTCACACGGGGAAGGTTTGAGAATTAATCACCACGCTTGCTTGGCGATTTCAGACTTATAATTAGAAATTATAAGCCTAGTTTCCCTTACGATGTCTTCCTTCACCGTTTGTCAGTGATGTCTAAATAATCTTAGAAAGTTTAGATAACTCGGAAATAGTCATATTAGTACTTGCCGTTGGTAGGTTTCGAACCCGCACTCTTATACACGAGAAGCGGGCATCTTGAACCACGACTCGAAGTTGAATTTAAACCTGAATACACCACCACAATAGAGTCGGTCACAGACGCTTAACTCGTCGAGTACCGGTTTTGTAGACACAATTATAGAACAATAGGTTGCGGTCACCGGTGACCGCTTGGTGTTTGACAGTTTAAACTCCTTTAAATGAGAACTGTCAAAAAGTATGTACATTTTTATAAAACATCAACATCAATAAAAGCGACAGACAGTAGCAATATCATTTTTCTCCACAACTCGCAATATAGACATTGTCTCCAAAAAATAAAAGAATAAAATAACAATAAAACTATCACCCTCCAACTTTGAAATGTCAAGTAACCGATTAGCGCGAATGCGCACCGAATCATTTCTGCGTGTATCCTTCCAAATAAGATCGTTTCCCGCGCACGCATCGCCCATTATCGCGGGTCGCATCACTTCCGCTGACATTTCGAAAAACGAACGCATATTTTAAATTGACGTTCTAAAGTTAACGGCCAGTGGCTTCCCTGCGCTATGATAGGAAGATAAATCAAACCAAAGAAGTCGAAATGAAAAAAGGCGGACACAGTCTCCTGAAACAACAATTGTGGCACCAAGTCCCTACTGCGTGTAAGTTTATACTTCCCCTGAAGTATAAACTTACACGCAGAACATATTTCGCAGTAAGATAGATGAAGCCGTTATATAGAATTATATCCCTAGGGATATAATGGCAGTTTCGGGAGGTACCTGTGTCTGATGGGGCGGGAGGAAACGCCCGGGTGTCATCACTGCGAGGACCACCCTGAGGACACGGTGGCACAATGCCCTTCGTGGGCTGAGCACCGCCGTGTCCTCAGGGAAGTGATCGGCGATGGCGACCTCTCGCGTCCGGGCCTAGTGCAGGCCATGATGCGGGGCGAGGGGGATTGGGATGCCGTCTCCTCCTTTTGCGAAGCAGTCATGCTAGCTAAGGAGGAGGCGGGACGCGTGAGGCAGCGAAGCGCTGCCTCCTCGCAACCCAGCCATCGCGAAGGACACACCGGGCGTCGGGGATCGCGGGACGATCTCCGGCCACCGTAAGCGCGGGCCTGCGGACGGCGAGCATGGGTGGCTCCCCGTCCGACCAGAAACAGACCCGAGCGTACGGCGCGTCGCGTTCCGCGCGCGCCTCAAAGAGCCATCAGACCACCACAGATGGGGCCCAATAGGGCCGATGCCGATTCGGAGTCGCGGAGAACCTAACGGGTAACCGGGGCTCCGGCTCGACGTGCAGGAGAAGGAACGGGGTGGTTTTTAGTCAGTAAGAGTCTGACACTCCCTCCCGCCTCACCCAGGCGGGGGCAGTCATTCGATGATTTTCCCCCCTTAAAAAAAAAAAAAGGGATATAATTGGGTACTTGCCTACTACTCAAATTCAATACTTTTTGCGAACTGTCAAAAACGACAGTTTTCTATGAATTTTGTAGGTACGAGATTGTGAATTGTGACGTCACGTTCTTTTAACGTCAAACAGCATACTTAATTCGTAAAAAAATGCTGGAAAAATACTAAAATTAAGTTAGTCATAAAATCAATTAATGATAAAATTGGTGCTTCAATAATTTATAAGTGACATTATAGAGGTATGTTCGCTTTTCTTCAAAGTCCTTGAATCAGACAAAATAATTGCGAAAACTATAAATCTATTATAATAAAAATGAAACCCGTTTCCCGTTTCACGCCATAACTTGAGAACGGCTAGACCGATTTGGCTGATTTTTTTTGTTGTGTTTATTATTGTCAGGAGAAGGTACTTACGACAGAAAAAATCCTGAAAATACTACGGGAACGGGAGAAAATGGGATTGCGCGTACGAAGTCGCGGTTAAAATAGTTTAGGGACTTCAATTCTTAGACTATTTAACTAAACTGCAATTTTATATGACATAGAAACACACGATGTTAATAAACAAACAATCAATTGAATACTTAGGTCAAGAAGTTATGATCAATTTCAATATTTAATGTGCTTATAATAATTATGGAGTGACCTGACAATTAATTATGTCTAATCTACATGCCAATTATAATGTACCGACATTTGTAATTACAATCTAGTTGACACCTCGTAAATTTTAACGAACATTATAATAATTATTTAACTAGCTCTG